TGACCTACAGTGAGAGAAATGGAAATTTTGATTTGAGGGAAATGAGATAAAAGAGGAGGTGGATTGCAGAAAGAAGAGGATGTATATTTTTGAAGCATGTTAACAGTTTGGATATTAAAACCAGGTTATAGACCAATTCTGGCCCTATGTGAAAGTGGGAAAACAAACCTTCTCTTTTTCTTTACTGTATATTACATAATTACCTTTTCAACTGTATGGGATAAATGATCTGTGATGGACCTTCTTGGGTATATATGTACTTTCTTTAAAAAAGTTTTGTTTCTATGGGAAATTATATTAAAGCTATAGGCCACTCACTAAAAGAACTATGGAATATAAGCTGGATTGTGTTCTGTCAAAACATTATTGAATTACTAAGAATTATTATTTTAACTTTTAAGTTTGGGGGTACATGTGAAGGTTTGTTACATAGGTAAACATGTGTCATGGGATTTTTTTGTACATATTATTTCATCACCCAAGTATTAAGCTCAGTACCCAATAGTTATCTTTTCTCCTTTCTCCCCTACTCCTCCCTCAAGTAGACTCCAGTGTCTGTTGTTTCCTTCTTTGTGTTCATAATAAGCTCTTATCACTTAGCTCCCACTTATAAGTGAGAACATAATGGTATTTGATTTTCTGTTCCTGTGTTAGTTTGCTAAGGATAATGGCCTCCAGCTCCATCCATGTCACTGCAAAAGACAGGATCTCATTCTTTTTTATGGCTGCATATTATAATTTTTTTAATCTTTTTTCTGTGTATAGCATTCCTTAGACATAGGACTTTGTTTTCTTTGTGTAATTTGCATTTCTGTGGCCCTTCTTTGAATTTTGGATTCATGAGCACATACAGGAAGACATTACAGTCCATTTAGGAATTCCTTTTTTTGGAACATTTTACCTCTTTCACCTGTGATACTTTACCACAAAAGGAAATCTGTTCTCAAAAAGAAAATTAGGTTTATGTATTAGCTATTATTTATTAGTCATTTAACTCATTTAAATTATTAGATTTGAAGACTTACTGTAGTCTTTAACACAACTTAACTCCCTTTTTACTGAGAGAAAAGTATGTATTGTTTAGCATTCAGGGGAAAAAATATATATATATACACACACACACACACATATATATATATTTTTTTTCTCTTCATCTCCTTCTCCTATACTGTCATGGCTTTAGGTTTTAATCTTACTTTGTAAGGCCAAGAATATTGAATTCAAATCCCAGACTATTGAAGTCATAGATGTAATTTGCAGACAGAAAAATTTTGTTTTGTTTCCCCTAGCCTTATTTTGCCATTCCAGTCATACATTTTTGTTTTTATAGAATCTAGCCTTTTTCCCCCCTTCCAATGCTCGAGATAAAAACTTTAGCTATTTTTCCCTTTTATTCTACCCATTAATAGTGTGTCATTTGACAGAGGTAATTCTCCCTATTGAGTTGGCAGTGTGGTTTGACTTGTTAACTGACATAATCTTGCCTTATCTAATGCATCATCACTGCTCACTGCAGCCTCAACCTCCCAGACTCAAGTGATCCTTCCACTTCAGCCTCTCGAGTAGCTGGGACCACAGGCATGTACTACCATGCCTGGCTAATTTTTGTATTTTTTGTAGAGATGGAGTTTTACCATGTTGCCCAGGCTGGTCTTGAACTCTTGGGCTCAAGTGATCTGCCTGCCTCAGCCTCCCAAAGTGCTGGGATTACTGGTGTGAGCCACCTCACTAGACCTAATTCTCACTTAAAAAATAAGATACCTATAACAAAAAAATGAAGAGAACATCTCTTTAAATGAGGAATCAACTTATTTCCTATCACACACATATGCTTAGGGAGTAGGTTAAAAATCATTTAAGATTCTCAACTCTTGTTTTGAAAAACACTTAATTAACCTTGTTAAATATCAAACTTTATGATCATAATCATAACCTTAAGGGAAAGAGCGTCTTTTCCTTTGGCACATTTGCTCACGGCAGGCAATCTTCTTAGTGCTGAGTGTTTTCCTTCAGCCTAAATGCTAAAAATTCAGTACACAGTCATTAATAGGGATGACAGCGATAGCATTTCATTTATGAATATTCATGAAGTGAAATCCATAGCATTAATTACATTAATTTACATACCTGAATACAAGCGAGCCATAAGTGATAACTAAGCCTTAAAAAAAATGTTGCTGACCATATATTGTATGTTTTCTTTTAAATGTTATTTAATAAGGGCGAAGGTGACATTTCTGTCAAAAGGCATTTGGGTATTTATAGTTAGAAATGTTTTTAGCAAAGAATTAAAGCACAGTATAATCCTTCAGTTTTCATAGGATTTTGTAGGGCTTATAAACGTTCTTTAAAGGAAGAAAGTATAAAGAAAAATGCATGTGGTTGAATACAGGAGAAACCTTTTATATGAATAAGGGAATTAATGGTTACTTGATGCTTATTTAGGATCATAGGCTTTTTATTCTATGAGTTTTAATTCAACATATTTTGAAAGGATATATGATTGAAAATAATTCATAATTTATGAGAATGAGATTTATTTTCATCCAGTTTTGTGATTGAGAAACTCTTAAGTGGGGGAAATAACGTTCTATATACATTTTTTTTTTTTGAAGCAGAGTCTTGCTCTGTCACCCAGGCTGGAGTGCAGTGATTTGTGATCTCAGCTCACAGCAACCTCCACCTCCAGGTCCAAGTGATGCTCCCACTTCAGCCTCCCAAGTAGCTGGGATTATAGGCACCTACCACTACACCTGACTAATTTTTGCATTTTTAGTAGAGATAGAGTTTCACCATGTTGGCCAGGCTGGTCTTGAACTCCTGACCTCAAGTGATCCGCCCACCTCAGCCTCCCAAAATGCTGAGATTACAGGTATGAGCCGCTGCGCTGGCCCAGTACATTTTTAAAGAAGTTAAAAACATATGCCAATGTGTTTAGTAGGTAGCATAATAGCTATATTGATTTTTAAAATGTAAGCTAAAATGCCTGTCTTTGTTTGGACTCCTATTACAAATTACCATAGGTGGTTTAGATAACAAACATTTATTTCTCATAGTTCTAGAGGCTAGAAACTACAAGATCAAGGTGCTGGCTGATTCATTTACTGTTAAGGGCCCTGTTCCTAGTCTGTAGACAGCAGGCTTCTTGTTATATCCTTGTTATATGAGGGAGAGATAGAGGGAGGTCATCTTTCTTGTGTCTTTTCTTATAATGGCACTAATCCTATCATGAGGGCTCCATTTTCATGACCTAATTACTACCCAAAGTTGCCACCTTCACATACTAGCACACTGGGCAGTAGGGTCTCAACACATGAATTTTGGGGAGTCACAAGCATTGAATCCATAGCAATGCCATAACTTGAATTCCTTCAAAGTATATGAGATTAAATATCATCACTGCCTTGAAAGGACAGATTGTGTTTATGTTTTCAACTGTTGTCTTTGAAACAAAGTATCAGAATTAACTGGTTAATCAACATTTTAGAAACTCATTGAAGCATATTCAGTTAATTATACTGAAGCATATTCAATATAGTGGGCCCTCCATCTGCTTGAGTGCCATGTCCTTGGATTCAACCAACTGTGGTTGGAAAATATTTAGGAAAAAACAAACAATAAAAAATAACACTACAACAATAAAAAATACAAAATTTAAAAATTCAGCATAATTATTTACATCTTATTTACCTTATATTAGGTATTAGAAGTAATGTATAGATGATTTAAAGTATACCAGAGGATGTGCATAGGTTATATGAAAATACTACACCATTTTAGATCAGGGACATGAGCATCCATGGATTTTGGTATTCGAAAGCAGTATCAGGAATATTTTTGTGCCAGGTGAGGTGGCTCGTGCCTGTAATCCCAGCACTTCAGGAGGTTGAGGTGGGAGGATTGCTTGAGCTCAAGAGTTTGAGACCAGCCTGGACAACATAGACAGACCCCATCTCTACAAAAAAATTTAAAAATTAGCTGGGCATGGTGACATGCACCTGTAGTTCTAGCTACTTTGGAGGCTGAGGCAGTGGGATGGCCTGAACCTGGGAATTTGAGGCTGCAGTGAGCCGTGTTTGTGCCACTACATTCCAGCCTGGGCATCAGAGTGAAACTCTGTCTCCAAAAAAAGAAAAAAAAAAAATAATATTTTTGCATTAATTAATAAGTGAAATATAAAATTACTTAGAAACATTTATCTCATTCTTTTATAATTTCTATTTTTGTATATACTTTAAAATACATCTTATATATAATTGTATAATGTATATTAGATTTTTGTATATATAATTAAGACATTGGCAAGTATGTTAACTTTTTATTTAGTTTATTCTGTCATTTCATACTGTTTACATAGTATAGAAGGTCTTTTCATAATGAATATTAAAGAACAAGACTGACACACTAGTATAGACAAGTTATCTTAGATCCTTTATGCTATGGGATACCTGTGAAATAACATCTGGTGGAATTTTTCTCTTTATTATTATTATAGATTTTATGTTAGAACTATGACAGTAGTCATTAGAGATGGTAGATTATAATCAATATTCTCCGATTTAAGAATCAAGTTAATTTTTTACACTTTAGAAAGCTTTTTAAATTTTAAGTTAAAGAAGGAGAAAAATTTTATAACTGAAATGCTTGTTTACCTGAAAGATTCACTTCTGTAAACTGATAGTGTATTCCCCCAACAGTAGCAGATAAATGAGGTATTAATAGGCTTGTAAAAATTGGGGTAAGGGGGAAGCTACTGTGTATTTGGCTTAATATGGTTTTTAAATGCTGATGATAGAGTTATCTATTTTTAAATACATTGCTTTCATTTTTGGCTGCATGAATATCCTATTTTCTTCTTTTGGAAAAGATACTACTGCATTACCAATATCACTTTTAGGTTTTGTTTTTTCTTGTCTTAAAATAGTCAAATTGTAGTTTTTTTCACTTGCTGTGTGCTCTTTCAAGATTTTTTTTTTTACTTGCTTTCTTCTTCTTTGCAGCAGTCTCCTGGATTAGGTAGGCCTATCTGGCTCCAGATTGCCGAGTCTGCTTACAGATTCACTCTGGGCTCAGTTGCTGGAGGTGAGTGACATGTCTGTGTGCTGTTTGAGGCTTGTGTTAATGTAATCTTATCTCACTAGACTAAGGCAGATCAGCAAAGGTGTAGTTTATTGTTCCCATGGGTCACGACTTCAGGGCTTTCTGAAGTGTTCTTTATTTTTACCTATGATCAGGGGACTTGTCATAGCAATGACTGTGGACCATCTGGCTCCAGTCTGTCTTCAGGACAAAACCTCTGTAATGATGTGAAAGTCTGGGATGCAGTGCTGCACTCTCCTTAATCATACTGGCTAAGGCCAGTATAAAAAAGTGGAAAATGAGACTGTGTTTATGGGGCAGGTTAAGAAATTGAGATTTGCTATTATCCTTATCATACTAACGCAGGAACAGAAAACCAAATACCGCATGCTCTCACTTATAAGTAGGAACTAAATAGGAACTTATGAACCCAAAGAAGGAAACAGACGCTGGGGTCTACTTGCGGGGGAAGGTGGCAGGAAGGAGGGGAGCAGAAAAAATAACTATTGGATACTGGGATTAATACCTGAGTGATGAAATATGTACAACAAACGCCCATGACATGTGTTTACCTCTGTAACAAACCTTCATATATACCCTACACCTAAAATAAAACTTAAAAAAAAACTGAAAAAAAAAATAAAACTGAAAAAAAAAAATTGAGATTTGAGATATGAATCCAGAACCTCATGAAATAAAACAACGTCTCAAAGTGATTCACTTGTGCTTTTCTGCTTACATGTTTTCCTTTCCCTTATCACTTGTTTGACAATATCTGGACTTGATGTTTATTTGCAAAAATGAACCTCCCTTCCCTCCCTGTTCACAGTCAAAATTTGAGAGACTGTTTTTGCTTAGATACTCTACATAGAAAATGTGTACAATCTGAAGTTGCTTTGTTGAGAAGAAACTAGCAGGTGTGATTAAAATGCTTACGATTTTTTAAGATAAGCCTGAACTCAAAATACTTTTTTTTTTTTCTTTTCACTGTCAGTTTTAGAAGTTGCAAACCAGGTTTCGGCTTTCAGCAGTCAAAGTGTGTAATACTTTCGTTCATGTAAATAAATTTTTCAGTCCCTGAGAAATTTTAAAGCATAGCCATATTTTCTTTTTTCTTTTCTTTTTTTTTTTTTGAGACGGAGTCTCGCTCTGTCGCCCAGGCTGGAGTGCAGTGGCCGGATCTCAGCTCACTGCAAGCTCCGCCTCCCGGGTTCCCGCCATTCTCCTGCCTCAGCCTCCTGAGTAGCCGGGACTACAGGCGCCCGCCACCTCGCCCGGCTAGGTTTTTGTATTTTTTAGTAGAGACGGGGTTTCACCGTGTTAGCCAGGATGGTCTCGATCTCCTGATCTCCTGACCTCGTGATCCGCCCGTCTTGGCCTCCCAAAGTGCTGGGATTACAGGCTTGAGCCACCGCGCCCGGCCTCATTTTCTTTCAAACCAAATTCTATACATAGGGATAGGATAATGTTGAAATGTGTCTCCAATATTGTGGTTGTAACTGATTAATTTACCGAGATGCTTTATTAAACTAAATTTTAAAATTGTAGCCACCTAGTGTACGGATATAGTCATTTTAAGAAGTAACTGGCATAATATTTAGGCATTTAATGGAAAATATAAGTAAATGTTTTATATAATAGTTTAATGTTGTTATTATAGAAAACTGAGTGTTAACTATCTAATTTGGGAAGTGACTCGATAATCCACTCTGTAATTTATGAACCTAAGATATCAAAGAGCATTCTTGACAGTTGTTCTCTGAAGCAGCTGTATTTATGGATTTCAGTGGTTGCTATAGCCTGCTATCCCTAAGGTGTGTGTGAGGGAAAGAAAAATACTAACATAAAGTCTCTTTTGTGAGAATACATATTGTGTTTTATTTTTTCATCCTTTAAGATAAGATTTGTCATCCTTATGGACTCTCCATTTAATTGTGTTCTTTTTTAAGCCTAAAAATTCTTCTGTTTGTAGCTGTGGGAGCCACTGCAGTGTATCCTATAGATCTGGTGAAGACCCGAATGCAAAACCAGCGTGGCTCTGGCTCTGTTGTTGGGGAGCTGATGTACAAAAACAGCTTTGACTGTTTTAAGAAAGTCTTGCGTTATGAGGGCTTCTTTGGACTCTACCGGGGTGAGTAAGCAAATCCCAGCTGCTGAAGTTAGTGATTTGATCCCACCAGCAGCAGATTTTAACTCACTAATTATGGAAGCCAATATGTAGTATGCCTAACCAGACTAGGTCTGTTTCTCTCTTTTTATTTTCTCTTTGCTCATTTCCCTTTTTACATTCTTTCTGGTGATTAGCAATATTAATCTGCAAACAAGGTCTTCATTTCTTCTTCTTGCTATTTATATTTCTTGGTATCCAAATTATGTGTTTGTCCCAACATGGGTCTATGTCACCATGCTTCTACAAACCAAGGCATATATCTGCAGGTGGAATACAAGGATGATAGCTAAGAAATAGAGAGCTGCTTTTCTCAAAGAATTAAAGAGGAGAAATACATCTCTTTTCTGCGAAAAAGAAGCCAGGCTACCACTCAAAGATGAGTTTACCCTCCGTATATTTGTTTCAACTGAAAGAAATATCAAATGTTTTTGTCTCTTTCAGGAAACATTTATAAATTTTTTCCAATGAGTCATGTGAAGGTTTAAAAAAAAAAAAAAAGAAAAAAAGGGAAAACCCTTTGGTTCCAAGTCTAATTCTTGCTCCTTTCCCCCACTTAACTCAGAGGTGTACAGTCAAAACAGAGAGATTTTCTTTTGCAGGGAATGTTAGCAGCCATTCTAGACTGAGCACAGTGCAGTTGGCAACAGAGGCAGCAGCCCCATGCAGAATTCTCCCCACCCCCCGTTGTCTTTGTAGGAACTTGTCTCTTTGGAGAGAGAATGACTTTCATGTATGTGTTTCCACATTAGAATATAGGGTTTCCTTTGGGAGGGAGATTAATTTTTTAATCTCTTTGGGCGCCACTTGGGATTCTTTGAAAATGCTCTCTACATGCTCAAGTCCAGGCCATTTATGTAATTTACTGTACTTGTTTGTTTGCACACACAAGCTCATTAATCCCTAGCCTATTCTGAGCTCTGTTGAACTATTTGGCTTAGAAATCTTCCTAAGAAAGACTGGGCCCAAACAAAGCTTTGGGCTCATGGACAGGAGAGAAAAAAACACCTCTGGTTAACATTATATACAGGTATTCAATCAAAAAATATAACTCCGATAAACTCATAATTGAAGTAGAGGGTCACAAGGATGTTCATTTTTAGCATTATTTATAGAATAAGAGGAGAGAGTCATTCTGAAATCAAACTAGGCTCAAGTAGCATGCTCTTGAGAATGAATGTGATGAGTTTTCCTCAAATATTCAGAACTGTAGCCTCTTTGAATTCCACCTGTACAGCCTGTACCCTGTGGAAAGGGGAACAGTATCCAGAACGCAGATCTTTCTGTGTGAATGCTTGTTTTAACTGATTAAACCCTGCATATCCATATTTTATGTAATGGGGAATCAAGGTTAAGTGGCATTAAGGTTGTTTTTTTCCTTGATATCTCCAGTGTTTCTTTGTTGAATAATGACCTTTCTCCTCTTTGGTATACTTTTAAATTGCAAAGAAAATGTCCCCTATTAAAAGGAACCTAGATATTTACTGCACAGTTTAGCCTTCTCAATGAATAGGTGCTCACAGAAGATTTCATTTGAGAGGGATGTCATGTTAATTAAATGGATGCAATATAGCAAGTAGGGGAGGGGATTGTTGGTTTTATTCAGGATGTAAGCTCATAAAAGCAGTTCTTTAAATGAGAGACTTTTGTATTAGGGAGAAGATTGTGGGAGTCCTGTATGTGAGCACTATGATTATTGAGATTGTCATATATTGCTTGGAACTGGTCCATTATTCTGTCAGATGATTGACAAAATTGTTGACAGATTAGCTAAATTTCTTTGCAGGCAACAATGATAAAATGACACAAATCAGTACTTTATTAAATTCCATGAGCCTTATTGAGGCGAGTTGTAAAACAAATATGCATGCTGACATGGTTGTATGGGAGTTAGATTAAAAGTAATTGAGCCTGATAATCACGAGGGTTAGAAAGTTAAGACTGCCATCTGCTGATTTGTTCTTTTAAATCAGTCTGCTACCCATGGAAAGTGTGTGTGGATTTGTGTGTATCATTGATAATTCAGTCTGACTGACAGTAGCCAATATGTATGATTACTTGCTGGCTCTCAGCTTATGGAAAATCACTCAGCAGTATCCTCAAAGCAGGCTGCAGATCAGCAGTCAGCAAGCAGGCAAACACATATATAACTCCCGTTTGGCTGGATGATTTAAAGAATATAAAATGTTTATTGTTAGCATCTTTAAAAAATGTATGGGAAAAAGTATGCTAACAATTCGGATAAGCTGTGTGCTTTAGAAAGCTGAGCCCAACAGATGTTGTTTATTTTTTTCTTTTCCAGTTTACAACCAGCCTGGGAAATTTAACTTTCTAAGGATTATGATTTCCTTTGTTTTGAGGGGATTCTTTTAAAATGTCTTAAGCTTGACATATATTAGTAAATAAGAATACAACAGGCATATGTTTTTGCTTATAGGAGATACTCATTAAACAATACTTAAAACTGCATTTTTCATTGCAGTTTTGGCTTCCCTGTAAATAAATGAATATTGAATGCTGTGTCTCTCTGAAGAGATTATGGGAGTTAGTGTTCTATAATAACCAAGCCACTGTATGCCATTATGTAGGTAGTACAGTTTGTGGCAAAATCTGGGTATGCTTAACAGCATGCTTTTCAGAGCTTTTCCAAGTGTACAGTGTCTGTGTATGTTTATATGTTTTTGGTTATAACAAGGGAGGGAATTTGGTTACATTTTCATTGGCAGTGTTCCCAGAATAGAGAAGACCCATGGCTCTGTTTCTTCCTCAGGGACTTTTTGGGAAGTGTTGGATAACCGGGCTTTAAAGTAAGCATGCTTAAGAAGAGGATTTATAGCCTCAAGAAACATGACATTATACTGCATTTGTAAATAATGATTACATATGTATACAGAGTTTTCAGGATAATCTTTTCCCCATTTTAATGAAAACTCTAAAATGTTTGATGGGTAAATAATATGGGGGAAACTCCTTGTTGTTGGGCTTGTGTTTTCGTGTCTGGTACATCTATATTGCTGATGATTCTGTCCCTTTACCTAGGTCTGATACCACAGCTTATAGGGGTTGCTCCAGAAAAGGCCATTAAACTGACTGTAAGTTTCTCTCTAACTGAATTTGTGTCATTTGTTTACATTACCATTAAGCCAAAAAACTGAAGTCAAGGCTCGGCATGGTAGCTCATGCCTATAATCCCAGCATTTTGGGTGGTGGGAGGATCACTTGAGACCAGGAGTTCCAAACCAGCATAAGCATAGTAAGAATTCAGCTCTACCAAAACAACAACAGCAACAAAAATGGAAAATTAGCCAAGTGTGGTGACATGCCAGGAGGCTGATATGGGAGGATTGCTTGAGTCCAGGAATTTGAGGCTGTAGTGAGCTATGATCATGCCACTGCACTCCAGCCTGAGCAACAGACCGAGACCCTGTCTCAAAAACAAAACTAAAATCGATACTGCCGACACTGGCACACTATCACAGAATTTGTAAAACTTTAATTTTACATATAAGCATTTGATAATTTTTAATTTTATCATAAGACAAATATTTTGCTGACTTGGAAAAGCAACAGTGTGCCAGAAGAGAAACAGTTGGGAATTTTGGTTAACTGATGTTGTCTTTCTAATTAGGTTAATGATTTTGTTCGGGACAAATTTACCAGAAGAGATGGCTCTGTTCCACTTCCAGCAGAAGTCCTTGCTGGAGGCTGTGTAAGTATTACTCTTAGGCGCTTCTTGTGACAAATATATTCCGTTAACCTTTTTGCACAGATATGATAGATATCTGAGTGACATTTCCCTTGAACTCAAGGGATTCTAAGCAGGTTTTCTCAATAATCATATGGAATAACTTTTAAATTTTATTATAAAAGCTAACTGGTTTTGAGTATAGAAAAGAGGTAGCATTTTCCGCCAGTTAGAATGGTGATCATTAAAAAGTCAGGAAACAACAGATGCTGGAGAGGATGTGGAGAAATAGGAACACTTTTACACTGTTGGTGGGAGTGTAAATTAGTTCAACCGTTATGGAAGACAGTGTGGCGATTCCTCAAGGAGCTAGAACTAGAAATACCATTTGATCCAGTAATCCCATTACTGGGTATATAACCAAAGGATTATAAATCATGCTACTATAAAGACACATGCACAAATATGTTTATTGCGGCACTATTCACAATAGCAAAGACTTGGAACCAACCCAAATGCCCATCAATGACAGACTGGATTAAGAAAATGTGGCACATATACGCCATGGAATACTATGCAGCCATCAAAAAGGATGAGTTCATGTCCTTTGCAGGGACATGGATGAAGCTGGAAACCGTCATTCTCAGCAAACTATCGCAAGAACAGAAAACCAAACACATGTTCTCACTTATAGGTGGGAATTGAACAATGAGATCACTTGGACACAGGACAGGAAACATCACACACTGGGGCCTGTCGGGGATTGGGGGTTTGGGGGAGAGATAGCATTAGGAGAAATACCTAATGTAAATGATGAGTTGATGGGTGTAGCAAACCAACATGGCACATATATACATATGTATCAAACCTGCATGTTGTGCACATGTACCCTAGAACTTAAAGTATAATGATAAAAAAAAAAGAGGTAACGTTTTCATCAGCTCTATCTCTTTGATGCTCCTAAAGCATTATCTTCCAGACTTTTTTAAAAGTTCTAACTCCTATTCCTTTTAAGAAATGGAAAAAAAAAAAAAAAAAAAAAAAGAAATGGAGTACAGAAAATATAGTAGTGGGTAGAGTTACCATTCGTATATGTTAACTGGAACTTTAAAACAAGTGTGAGATGGCTGATTAATTGGGCCCTTATATCTTAGATATAGGACTGAGTAAGCCATTGTTTAATTATAATTTTTCTTCTTTAGAGGCCAGAGGGTATGGCAAACAATAATAATGGTAACTACATTTCAGCTGTTGACAGAAATTCTGAACCCAGAGACTCTGATATTTACTTAGGGCACAAAGGTTTCTGTCTTTAAAGTGTAAGCATGACATTGGCTTTGGACCAATTCTTAAATCTGTTTGCAACCCAACTAATTTCATTTGTGGTATTTGTTTCATATTTGATAATGTATGGTTCGTTTAAGACTTGTTTAGTCCATTTTATTCTTGAAAACATTAATAACTTCCAGTTGAATTGGCTGACAGTCTTGGCTAAAACTTCCTCAGTTGCTTGTGAAACCTGAAGTGATGAGGTCAGTGACCTTGGCAACATTTAATTCAGAGACACTGCCTCGGGGGTCAGAGAGAGAGAGAGGTTGCTTCAGGTTCTCTTTGATATGTGTCAGTGTGGCACATACCTGAGTCCTCACCTTTCTGCAGAGTTGCTTTGGTAGAGGTGGACTGCTGTGTGGGTGTGTGTGTGCGCCTGTATGCATGCCCCAGCACATTCTCAGGAAGGAAATCTCCTTGGCTGCATTTCTTTTTTAATGAAGAGTAAACAGTGGACATAGAATAAAACTTTTGCTTAGGTGGATCACCAGAAATGAAGTTTCTCTTTTTCCTTTATTCCAATTAGATTCTGTAATTGGTTCTTGTCTAGAGAGAGAATCTTTGCCAATCATAAATATTCTTTTTCTTGGTCGTTTTAAGTTTCTGTTTGGTTAAGCTTTCTAAGTCATTTTTATCACAGCACATGCATACCTTTGCCAGAAATCTTCTAAGTCATGCTCTTTCTGTTCCATGTAACTAATTATTTGTTTCCATTTGCAATATCCAGGTTTTTGGACATGAAGCTGACCTGTTTCCATGTCTGACATGTGACCTAAGTGGTTAAACCAAAATAAGATATTTAGTTCCTTTGTTCTTCCTAGCTACAGACCCTGTTTATAGGTTTGAACTTTAGGAATTTTTATTGAAGTCTGGGGTGCCTTGAGGGTTGTGCTGACACTCTAAATCTCTTCCTTAATCATGACTCATTTCTGGAGGCTTTGATGGATTATCTAGCGGGAAATTGACAGCATGAAAAATATCAGATTGGACTCTAGGCAGAATGATAAGGTTGTCTGCAGTTCTTCACCACAAACGTTTTCTGCTTCCTCCTTTGCTCTAAATCTCTTCTTTCAGGAAGAAGAAAAAAGTGCAATTATTGAGTTTCTACTGACAAATTCACTTATACCATGGTATAAATGATTGTTAAAGCATAATTCACTGTTTCTCCCCAAAGTCTATAAATTTCAGCAGAGAATAAAGTCTTCAAAAGGATGAGTCTCTCTTTATAGAATATCAGACTCTGTGGAACATAGGATACGCCATTTCCTAAATGATACCTGGCAAACAGCCAACAGATTAACACTGTGAAGAGTGGCTGCCTGTGAGCCTGACCCTGAGTCCTCACCATCCTGGGTAGTGGTGGTGATACGATGTATGATGTCCTTGTGGCTTTTGGCTGAGTGCTGTCAGTGCCACTAGTGTGAAGAATACTGCTGTTCTTCCAAAAATTACCCAATTTTAAAGATGCACCTAATGCGTTAACCTAATGTAGGTTAATTAGGAAGAAATGGCTCAAACTGAGTTCTAGGCATTTTTTCCCAGAGGAAGGATTAGCTAGGACCTAGGCCTTCAGTTCCCTGTAGATGAGAGGGAAATTTTATTGCCATGGAAATGACAATATTCTCTTTTAGGGAAAATAGTGTGTGTTAACTAGATCATGAAGTGACCTGGAAGTGAAAATCTCTAGTCCTTGGGCATTATATATTTTGTTGTTGTTGTATGTTTTGTTTTATGATCTGGTTATTTTATTTATTTATTTATTTTTGTTTTTTTGAAACAGAGTTTCTCTCTTGTTGTCCAGGCTGGAGTGCAATGTCACGATCTTGGCCCACCGCACCCTCCACCTCCCAGTTTCAAGTGATTCTCTTGCCTCAGCCTCCCTAGTAGCTGGGATTACAGGCATGTGCCACTGCGCCCAGCTAATTTTGTATTTTTAGTGGAGCCAGGGTTTCTCCATGTTGGTCAGGCTGATCTTGAACTCCCGACCTCAGCGGATCCACCCGCCTCGGCCTCCCAAAGTGCTGGGATTATAGGCGTGAGCCACCGTGCCTGGTCTTTATGATCTATTTTTAAAGGCATGTGATTTTTGTTTTTTGTTTGTTTGTTTGTTTTTCTTCTTTTTCGAGACAGTATCTCAGTCTTGCCCAGGCTGAAGTCGAGTGGTGCAATCTCAGCTCACTGCAGCCTTGACCTCCTGGACTCTGGGGCTCCTCCCATCGCTAAGCCTCCCCAGTAGCTGGGACTATAGGCGCATGCCACCATCCTCTGCTAATTTTTGTATTTTTTGTAGAGATGGGGTTTTGTCATGTTGCCCAGGCTGGTCTTGAACTCCTGGGCTCAAGCAACCCACCTGCCTTGGCCTCCTAGTTTTGGGATTACGGGTGTGAGTCACCAGGCTGGCCAAGGCCTGTGATTTTTGATACATGCAAAATAATACAAACAGTATAATTATAGAATAATAATAAAATGAGCATCCATGGTTCTAGCACCCAACTTAACTAAAACTTTACTACTCTTGTTAATTTTGATTATTGCTTTTGATGTAGCTCGAATCAGCTAATGAGCAAAACATACTTTTCTTACTGGGCTGAACATTTTATGGGGATTATCTCATTATTATTCCCAACTAGAGTTGAAAAAACTAAAACCTTAGTGAAATCCAAATTTGGACTTAGTAAATGTCAAAATTGTGATTCAAACCACTTCTATCTCCAAATCCATATTCTTTTACACTTGATGTAGGTTTTCATTTATTTGTTCTTTCATATATTCACTTATTCATTGAATACCTGATATGTTTCATGCAAATTTTAAAACCCAGCTTTAGGCTGGGTGCAGTGGCTCACGCATGTAATCCCAGTACTTTGGGAGGCCGAAGCAAGTGGATCACCTGAGGTCAGGCGTTCGAGACCAGCCTGGCCAATATAGTGAAACCCCGTCTCTACTTAAAATACAAAAAAATTAGCTGGGTGAAGTGGCGCGTGCCTGTAGTCCCAGCTACTTGGGAGGCTGAGGTAGGAGAATTGCTTGAACCCAGGAGGCGGAGGTTGCAGTGAGCTGAGATCGTGCCACTGTACTCCAGCTTGGGCAACAGGGTGAGACTCTGTCTCAAAA